AAGGGTGAGATTTTAGCTCTGAGCTCTGACCTCTCGGCTTTCTCTTTTACATTGTTTCTGTGTTTCTTATTTAATAAGACGGTTGGTTACATCTACAGATATGTGACCCGAATAAAAGGGTGGGCCACGAGATGCGCCCTCTTTTGGAAGGTGGACGAACTGGGAACAAGTGTGGCTGGGAGCTCGGTCTAGGCTCCCCATCCCCCTTGATGGGAATGAGGAGGCAGCAAGGTGTAGCAGCTGGACCTGTGGCAGGTTCTTCATTCTGTCTTGTGAGTGTACTGCACTGATACTGCTTGCTAATAAACTGTGATTTGATCCACTAACTTCCTTCATTAGATGCCTGTGAAGACTGGTACCTCTGTGTGCCAGAGCACTTGAGAACTTGGATAAGAAACATCAACATACAGATCTGTGTCCTGTTCTTAAACGAACTTCCTTATGTTTTAAAAATAATGTCACTAACAAAATTCATTGCGCCAATCCAGAAAATAGATTAAGTTCTTAAGGATCATTTTGTCAACTGTTAAAAAAAAAAACTTACTGGTAATTGCCAATACTGATAAATATTGTCGACACTGATGAGCAAATCTCCTAGAGCAAACTATTTCAGAAGTACGACAGTTTCTTAATTGTACCTCATATTCATGTTTCTCTACTGTGATAATATAAACACTAATTGTTAGCTAGGAATACAATTCCTCACACTGAAATTTACATCCCAGTCCTTTTTCAGCTACATTTGTCTATATGGCTAAATTATGCCCAGTGGGTATAAGCACAAATGATACATACAAGCTTCAAGAAGTGTTCATGGTGCCTGAGTGCAGATACAAGGCCTGTATACAGAGCAGCCATCTTTAGACCCTGAATTAGAATCCATGATAACGCTGGCACTCAGACCTGATTAAAAGAACCTGAGTGGCTCACGCTCATGACTTCTCCTTATTAGTTAAGGAGAGCACACTTTACTTCTTGCTCATTCACAGGGGAAATGATGCCTGCTGCCTTTGATCTTTCTGCTGCTCTTATTCCAGACCTATCACTGCTCTATGTTCCCACAAGACTTAGCAATTTAGGCAATAGGCAACATGAAAGCAATATTGCTGAAGGATAAACCCATCATTAAAGGACTTCAGACTGTGTATTGGTATTACCCTCAGCAGTGTTTACGATACCTTCAGAGGAGCGGTTGCTTGTCCCTCGGCTCTTTCAGACTTGATGGCTCCTCGGTCACAGCACTGCTGATTCAATAAAAAGGCAACGAAATCACTTTTTGTTGCTCCGCAGCACGCTTTAGAGAATTACTGTAGCCTCCCATGTTATAAGAGAACAGAGTTCCAATATAGCAATATCCAAAAATCACTTATAAGCCTTTATAGTGGCTTACCAAATCTGATAATAACATTCAGGTCGAAATGAACTGAATGTTTCCTTGTAATCAGAAAAAAAAAAAAAAAGCCCCAATGAACAGTGTGATAAGAAAAGCAAGCTGAGCTGGGCAGTGGTGGTGCACGCCTTTAATCCCAGCCCTCAGGAGGCAGAGCCAGGTGGATCTCTGTGAGTTCGAGGCCAGCCTGGTCTACAGAGAGAGATCCAGGACAGGCACCAAAACTACACAGAGAAACTCTGTCTCGAAAAACAAACAACAAAAAGAAAGGAAGGAAGGAA